TTTTTCTGTCTACAGCTGAGTCTGGCTTTCCCAATAATATTCTGTATATGCACAATATTTCTGGTGGTAGTGCCACTCTATAGTGACTTTATAAATTCAGTGATTGGAATTGGCATTGCTTTATCTGGAATTCCATTCTTTTTCTTGGGAGTCTATTTACCTGCATCAAGGAGACCTCAATTTATTAACAAGTTTATGGGTAAGTTTCTTTGTTTGCTGGAGATATTGTTAGGAAAGGGAAAAGTAAGTAGGTGACTCTTGATCTGTTCCTGGAAAGGGTCGTGGTGGGCTGACCCAGCTGAGTAGCCAGGGCTGGCTCATCAGCACCCCCAGCAGCACGAGGGACAGAACAGGAAGAAAAAAGGTGGGGAGCCCTGCTGGTCAAGTCAAAGAAAATTTAGTGAGTGAAGAGGGGGAAAAGCCCTGCTGCTGCAAGAGCAATCAATCACACACCTCACAGGCAGCCCAGTGTGCAGCCAGTCTCCAAGCAACAGCTGTATGGGGAAACACTCCCACAGGCAAACACTTCTTGCTCAACCCTTTTCTATTGCTGGACGTGACACCAGAGAGCATGAAATAGCCCTTTGCATAGTTTGGGTGAGCTGTTCTGGACATCCTCCTGCCAGACTCCTGCCCTCTCCCATCCTGCCAACTGCAGGAAGAGCTAAGAGGAGAGAAAAGAAGCCTTGATACTGTTCAGCAATAGCCAAAACATCAGGAAAAAGTCTTTAATTTGAACCAAGATTGATGATTGTAAAAAGTGTGAACATTCTTGGTAGCACAAGCTGTCCAGCTTTACTGAATTGGTTATTTGAAAATAGATAGATTTTATGTCAGTAAAGAATGGAATTTTGCCTTCTGTTGAATTACAGTTTGCCAGCAGTTAAATTACACAAATTTCAACTTTTCTCTATCAGTGCTCTTTGTTATTGTCACTGTGTGAGACAGCCATGATGAGGGATGTGGTAAGGAAGGTTTATAGCATAACCTGACCCTGAAAGCAGGATGTGGTGCTGCAGTAGTAGAATGTATGTAAATATTCAGTAATCTTGTAGCCTTCCCTCTATGCTATTAGTTTTACTTTCTTTATTCCACAAATTTTACACTCTTAATTATAAGGAAAAAAGATTTTATTCAGTTACTTGGCAGGGTACCTAAGAAGCAGAACACCCTAGGATATCAACAGAACAGTTTAAGATTTGTGAAAAATGAGTGGGACAAAGTTATTGTACTAGCTTTTACTGTTTCTTTCCCTAAAGAGAGGTGAGACAGCATTCCTGACAGCTTTCATTGGTCAGATGTGTTTTGTAATTAGAGTTGAGATAGGTGGCTGTTGTTCTAATCTGTCTCCAATTTCTCTGCAGGTGCAGTCACACGGAACATACAGCTGCTCTGTTACTGTGTTTTAACAGAAATGGACCCAAATGAAGAAAAGAAACCAGAAATCAAATCCAACTAAAGTTTAAAGCCATTACAAGAAGCAGGAGGGAGGATAAAGCAATTACACAAAAGAAAGGGAAGAGCTGGAACTGGAAGACACAGAAAAACTGGTTTTGGTGGTCTTTCAGAAATGCTAAAAATATTCTTACTTGTAGATGGATTCCAACATGGGTCATGCCCTTGTGTCATCCTCCTAAACTATGGCATGTTTTCAGGGCAGGTTTTCATTGGATAACGATTACCTGCTCATTACCTACTCACACAAGATGTGTGTCAATACTGTGTCTTCTTTGGAATCGGTACCAAAATGGTAAGAGCTAATGGATCAAATTAGATTTCAGCAGAAACAAGTGGTGAAGTAATGCATTATTACATCAGAATAAAACCCACTTTGACTCCAAAGACTAAGTAATTTCCAGCTTAATTCTGATGGATGCTTGCATGAAATGATTTGCTGTACTGTCTCAGTTATTTTCTCAGAAGAAAACTGGTCACAACAAACTACTTCATTTGTTTTTCTGCCCCTTGCCACTGCAGATTTGATTAATGGTTGATTTTTTTTCTTGATAACACATTGGTACTTTGTGTTGTATTGTGTTCTCATACGTTTTAGTTGTATAAAGTTCTACTTTGGTTTATACCAGTTTCCCCCTGTTATAATTGTTTTGCCCCTGCTGCCTCCTCCCTTCTTTTTTATGTCAATCTCCCTACCTGTTCCCCAAAAGTGCCTGAATCCTTCCCTTAACCCCTCCCCAGTGTCCTGTCCATCACTCAACGGCCCATCCCCTCCCTCTAGAAACTTCTACCAAGGGCGTCGAGTGATAGGTTCAGGCACTGGGACCCCTCCCTCAGGTGGCCCTTATTGGCTCCCCTACCTGCCTGTTTCCCTGGTCCCCACACCCTGCTGTATCCCCATTGGCAGGTGGGCAAACCCTCCCTGGTTTGCTCCCCCCCTTTATAACACCCTGCACATCCCATTTCTGGGTCTTCAGTTGGCTGGACCCCCAGGGTTTGGGCTGTGCTTTGAGCTCTGTAATAAACTGGGCTTTGACCCCGATTGGGGTCCACTCTCCTCCTTCTCCCTAAGTCATGCTGCTGCCTCATCCCGAAGGTGAAAGGCTCAGCTGCTTTCCCGACCTCCCGAGGAACAGGGGAGAGCGTCCCCTGCAGTGCCAGAGCAAGCCAGGGTGGCTCCGAGCACCCACTCGGAGAGGCACTGCCGCAGCTCTGTAAATCTCTTCCAGGTTTTATGAAACTTTCAAAGTCAAAATGTTCAGTTTGAAGTCTGTGAACAGTTATTTAATTGCTTCAGTGAAGACACAGTAGCTGAGTTACCTCAGTAGAGAGAAAATTCCCTTCATAAATTTCAGTGCTGTTCCCTAGAAAGTGACCACCTAAAACCTAGAAACCACTTTTCTATGGCAGAATTTCTGTGGCAGATACTAGATCTTGGCAGCTAAGTAGCAGGGAGAAAACCTAGAAATAAAAACAGAAGTAAAGGGTACTACTGCAGCACAGACATGCTGATTCATATTCTATGTATAAATTCCAAAGCTGTAAGCCTGGAATCGGGGCTGTTTTGATACTGAATTCTGGTGCAGTAAAAGACAACAAGAAGCCTGTTTGTCTGGCAAAGTGAGGTATGTATTTCAAAAACATATCTAAGATTTTTACCTTAGTTCAGAATGCCTGTCTCAGTTGACCTGAGTTTGGCCACATGTATGGATTTGTGCATTTAAGTTGAACTAAATCTTGAAATTACAAGATTATGGCTGAAGTAATACACACTTCAAAGGGTGCACCACAGTTGCATCAGTGACCTGAATAATAGTGGGGATAATTTGGATTTTTGCACTGTCTTGTTAACTTTTCTCTGAAGCAAACAAAAATACCTTGTCTCCACTCCTTTTTGTTATTACTAGTCCAGACTGATTGGCCTACTGCTGCAGCCTCCAGTTCATGAGTGACATTGACCAGCAAAGAGCTAATCTTATCAGCTGTTTTTGGCAGACTCAAGTAGGAGAGTGCTGAAATACTAAATGTGTCCAAACAGGTACAATGGAATTGTTTAAAGATCTACAAATGCAAATTAAAATGGTGACCTGGGTTCAGCTCTGCCAACTTCTGTGATTTTTAAATGAGTAAAGAAAACTTGGTAAAAAAAAAACAAACTATTTACAATTGGAATGCATGTTGTTCTACTTCAATTGTTAAACTACTGGGGAGAGTAATGGGCAGTCAAGGCATTTCATATGCTCAAACACTTGTCTCTTGTGAAGAAAGTCACTTAACATTTAGGAACAAATGAATTAGAAAGCAGTAGGATAGGGTGCTGTCCAGGACTTCACTTGCTATCAGGGCAGACACATCGATCTTCTTGTGAAACCTGACATATTGGTCATGACCAGAAGGGCTGCTGCCAACAGTACCTCCACATCTGTACATTTGCTACAGCTACAAACTCCTTGTCATGCAGCTTTGGGAAAACAAAAGTAAAGGTCCCTGGTGTCTATGTCTCTCTGGGAGCCTTTCAGGAACCCTCAGCCAGCCCCAACAGATTCAGGCAACAAAGACGTTCAAACTCCTCACACCGATGATTATGTAGTAGGAGAAGAAAATCAATTATGGCGTGATTTTGTAAGGTGGCTTGCCTTGTTGTTTTGTCATCTGCCAGGAGGTCAGAAAGTGCAGCTGCTGTAATATTTGCCTGTTTAGCAACCCAACACTCTAGGTGTGACAATGCACCTTGAGCTTTGGCTGCAGACACCCGTGGCAAAAACACGGTGATTGCAACGCCTTTTGGGTCAGACCAATGTACGATTTCAGAATCACAATTTGGGTCCAAATTCCTTAAGTTTCTCTTTTTGCGGGCTGAATTGTGGGTGCTGGTTTTGGTTCACCAATCCATGATTTGGGTCTTGTTGGGTGTAAACAGGCTCAGCTTTCCAATGGTGCATGGACCTCCGATCAGACAAGAGGGGATGCCCTGCCCACGCTCTGTCACCACAAATCAGGAAAAATCGTTTAGGGAGGGCACGGGGCTTATTGTCAGGGGAGGGCGACAACTCCACATGGGAAAGGCTGGATGGCGGCTGTTATCCTTGTAGGGCTGAGCTTCAGCATCTCTCCAGGCAGAAATTCAAGCTTCGCTTACTGACTGTTCAGTAGTTTCCAAGGGAGAACAGTGTAGAAAAGTGTAGAGAAGCGAGTGCCGCGCACAGCCTGTCCTGGGGGGGGTGCTGTGGGCCGGAGCTGTGCTCCTGCCGTGCCTGCGGCTGTCACAGCGCGGGCGCAGCCGCCGTGCCCTCGGTTAGCGGCACCGGACGGCGCTGCCCGGGGCCGGGCTACTGTGCAGAGCAGCGCAGCCAGAGCGGAGCCCCGAAAGGCCGCGAGGAGCAGCCAGAGAGAGCCGCTGCTTTGCAAACCCCTCCAGGAGCACCGGCCGTGGTTTTTGAGGACTGTATTTGGTCACGGAAAATAAAATCTTTTGCATTTTGATAATTTGGCTTTTCGATTGATCATTTATAACACACCTCTTAAGAATATGAACAAGGTCAAACTTTCTCTGGAAAAAGAGGTTCTCATTTATTAAAATAGTTACAAGGAACGGAATACCTGGGATAAGCCCGAGCACCCCACACAGTGAGCCAAAAACGCTACCCACAAGTGCACTGGGTTCTCCCCCAAAAGCAACCTTCCAAAAAGAAGAACCCCAGCCCAACCAAACTCCCCCCGTTTATAGCCCCCTCAGAGTCCAGGTTTGGTCCATTACGGATCCGCATGGTGACTGGTCCATTTCCAGGCTCCTCATTGGTCTTAAACGCCGTTCATTCTGGACCAATTTTTTCTGCAGGGCTTCGAATGATTGGTCAGATGTTCCATCCAATCCCTCTACAACCTCACCTTGCCCCACCGGACCTCCGTTCCACCAAACCCTGGACCCTTCTTCTAGAACATTCTAATAACCCCCCCACTCTTAACATAATACAATTAATATAATATATACAATATAATTGAACTATACACTAATCTAACATAACTTAACTTTTACCTATAACACACTCATCTGTTTAATGTCCACCAGCTGAAGCTGGCTGCTCAGATAGTACATTCTCCTAAAGCAGCAAATGTTCACCTTCAGTGTGCATTTCATCTCCAAAACCAGGCTGTTTAGTCAGAACCCAAATCTTCAATCTGATCGTATCCAAATTCCTTCAAAACCTCCTCTCGATACTTGTCCCATGTTCTTCTTCTGTAACATTGGTCCTCATCACTGAGGCTGTCTTCTGAATCTGCAGAGAAATCATCAACACTTCTAAATTATCCCTTCTTTTTACTTAAAAAATTAAGTTAATCAGACTAGTTTAAACTTCTTGAGAAACTAACAAAGTCTGAACAACTTCTGTATGAGCTGAGGTTTGAACTGTGCTCGAAGGACTCTGGGGTAGAGACTTCAGAAAAAGGAGGCAGTGTTTCACAAGCATGCAGACCCAAGTAAAGGATTCCTTCTGTAAGCAAGCAAACCTTTGCAATTCCAGCAGCCTCAATTTGACTTCTCAATTTTGTCTTTTCACAAACACTAATTTCTCTTCTAGTTCCAAGAAAGATAATCCTCCTCCACACACATTTCACCATTTTAAGAGCAGAGTCCGACCCCAGCAGTGCTCAGTTAAGTTGCTTTTCTAGGGATAGCATGTAAAAAAGAGGGGATGTATGCATGCAGGAAAGCAAACAGCATTTATGACAGTTGTACCTCTTTCTCCATCTTCCTCAGGCAAGAATTCATCTTCCTCAGGATAATCATTACGCCAGTTATTTTCATCATTTTCATCGTCTTCATCGTCATACACTTCCTCTGGACCAGGATCATCATTTACCTGCATGTCAACACAAAACACAATGCTGAGTGTCTGTGCTTATAGTGAATGTTAAGTGAATTTTCATCCAGCTGTGCAATACTGTACAGATCAGAAAGAGCCAGGGAATACTGATGGCAGGCAGAAGGAATTCTGCAGTGACACAGGGCACACTGCAGGAGAATTTGGAGTTGTTACTGCATTCACCAGCACACTTCAAATCTGCTTGAGGTGAAAAATCAGTGAAGTCCCACATGTATGTGTTCCACTCCAGCATTTCAATGCTAATGTCTAGCTTAATCCTACTCACTTCAGCAGTAGTGTAATAGATCAGGGAAGACAGAAAATAATTTCAGGCTCCCAATATACAAGTCTGTTAATCACAGGAACTATACAACACAAGACTAAACCTTAGATTAAACTTCCTAACTCCACAGTCACTGAAGAAGTATTATGAAAAAATCTCTGATATGAAGATTAAAGTCAAGTCCTCAAATAGTGTAAAAGTTGTGCATTCCCCTTGTTCTTGTTTTCATTCAGTCGTATTTACAATGCCATTTTAATGGCTGTCTCCTAATTGCAAGCAAGACATAAATGACACAATTTTCCTGTGCCAAAATTGAATTGTCAGTTTGAAACTAGAGAGATTCTTCTCATTAAATGAGCACCATCCCTTCCATTTTGTCATATGATGTCCTGGGATCAGGAGTAACCTGCAGGAACATGGGACTGCCAGTTACAAAAGGCCTAACACAGAGGTCACTGAGCATACACGTAGTGTCTACCTGAAAGGACCTTTCTTGGCATGGCAGCTTCCAAGAGCAGAATTTTAAACATCTTTTATTTGTGGTCTTTCTAATTGAGAAAGATTGTTTTTTCCGCACTCTTACCCATTCATATTCTTCTCTGTAGGGCTGCACAGAAAGGATATTTTCAATCCAGTCAGGGGCTGATGTTTCCTTATAGTAGATGTCATAAACATACTCATCTTCTTTGTGACCGTGTTGTTCTTTACCATCTTCAGAAATATTTAAACGCTCACGGATCATCTCTACTGCATTGCAAAGGATTGCATCTGGATTGGTCTTCTGCTGAGAAAAAAAATGAAAAACATTTCCACTTAACTCATGCAAAGTCTCATTTACAGCCAACAGTTTTCAGATGAAAAGAGAACTTAGCCATCAGACTGAGGCAAAGAAAAACAGGGTGGTACAAGCCCTTCCTTAAGCAGCAGCTCTGCACACTGTCTGCTTGAACATTGGTGCACTCAGGATCCTCATGAAACATTGCAACTTGCTCCTTTAATAGGAGCTTTAACTAGATGCACTAGCTAAAGCTCATATTAAATAGTGGAATACTTAGAGCGCAATAAAACTCCCACAGCACTCTGCCCACACGTGCCACTCAACAGCCATACCAAATCACTTCAAGTAGCCCAAGTTCATAGCTGACCTGTGGGTTTGCAGTGGTTGCACTGGGATCTCCCACCGTCTCCTCTTCTTGTATAATATCAAACAGCTGGAATTTCCCACAGCAGCCTGAACTTTTATCCACAGCACCGCTCTCCTCTGGTGAAGCATCCTGCAGTGCTTCAGAGTCCGACCTGTCCCCGTGGGGCACGGCCTGTCCGTCTGTGGCAGGTGCAGCTGTGTGGGCGCAGTGGGGCCGGTGGCTGGAAATGACCCGGTACCGCTTCTCCTTCCTTTCCGCCTGCTTGGCACAGCGCAGCTCCTGAAGGATTTGCTGGGTGCTTCCCAAAGGGGGCCGCAGGCTCTGAGCTGCCTTGTCCCGCGTGATGGCATCTTTAACGTATTTCTGAACTGGTTCATCCTGGGGGAAAGAAGGAACAAAGAGGAGGAGGAATGTAATGACAACGTCAACATAGCAAGTCATACTCCTTCCTGGAAGGGATGAAGAACTGCAATACCAGTAATCCTAACAACATTCAAGTAACTTCTACTATGACTTGAAACAACATAATCATAATACTCTCTTGTTATGAGGGGAGAAAAGCACATGATACAGAAGAGAAGTCCTAAGACTATTTCAATTTGATTTTTACCCAACTTTGTGGTACAGAATAGCTCTCCAAAGAAAAACACATGCCTTTGGAAGACTGCAACGGACCTAAATTTAGGGCATAATATCCCGTACTTTGCTTTATCCTAAGAAGACCATTTCCCTATTCTTACTCAATAGAAAAGGCTAGATGGAGGCTGTTATCCTTGTAGGGCTGAGCTTCAGCATCTCTCTAGGCAGAAATTCAAGCTCCACTTATTGACTGTTGTGTAGTTTCCAAGTGAGGAACAGTGTAGAAAAGTGTAGAGAAGCGAGTGCCGCGCACAGCCTGTCCTGGGGGGGGTGCTGTGGGCCGGAGCTGTGCTCCTGCCGTGCCTGCGGCTGTCACAGCGCGGGCGCAGCCGCCGTGCCCTCGGTTAGCGGCACCGGACGGCGCTGCCCGGGGCCGGGCTACTGTGCAGAGCAGCGCAGCCAGAGCGGAGCCCCGAAAGGCCGCGAGGAGCAGCCAGAGAGAGCCGCTGCTTTGCAAACCCCTCCAGGAGCACCGGTCCACTCGGCCCGGCCCATTCCGCCCGGCCCGGCCCGATACCTTGGAGGACACGGTCGCCGCGAGCTTGAAGAGGTTGTTCTCCACGGGCTCGGCCCGGCGCCGCTTGCAGGCCAGGAGCAGCGCCTCGGCCGGCTCGGAGCTGCCGCGCTTCCGCCGCACACGCAGCACGGCCGCGCCCGCCATGGTGACTGCGAGAGAGGGCGGAGCGCCCGCACAGCGCCGGCCCCGCGGCTCGGGCTCAGCGGCGGCGGGGAGTGACGGCGTGTGCGGGACAGGGACACGCGGGGCCGGGGCGGGCACGAGCGGCGCTCGGGGCGGATACACGCGGTGTCCGGGGCAGGCACACGCGGCATCCGGGGCGGGCACACCCACGGGGCTCAAGGTGGGCGCACGCGGCATGTTGGAGCTGCCTGCCTGGGGTTCTGAGGAGGGACGAGCCCGCGGCTACTCGGGCCCGCTGCGCTGGTTCCGCGCTGGGGATGGCGGGGAACGCTCCGGCCGTGCCCCATCGCAGCTCGTTCCTGAGGCGGGGAAGGGCCGGGCCTGTGCCGGTAGGGACTCTGGGAGAGGGGCCGCCGGCCTGATCCACTTAAGGGATGCTCTTCCATGAGGATTTACTGCTGTGTTGGTTTCTTTCCTGCGTTGTGTTCTCAGGGGTTACACCTGGATGATCATAAGGTCCCCTTTTAGTGTAGGGCTAGGTGACAGATTTTAGCTTAAAACGTCCTTGTGAAAAAAGCATAAAGTGGTCACCAGTACTTCTGGCTAAAACAAATGTAGTCGGGGAAATGTACAAGAGCTAAAGTGATACTTGTGTTTACTAAAAGTTTCATGGTTGGTTTGGTTTTGTTTTTTTTTTCACAGCCACCATTTGGTGTATTCTGTTGAAGCGAAAGCAAAGCTGCACACAATACATAAATAATACAATACGGCTTGAGATTGATCATGAAAACCTTTTGTGGAAGAGCCAATCCAACCACTGGCTCGATGGAGTGGCTGGAAGAGGGTGAGGACTATGACTACCACCAGGAGATTGCAAGGTATGCTTGGAACAGTAGCTTGTTCTGTTAAAGGCCCCTGAAAAATGAGCACATCCAACATTTTTTTAAGGGCAGTTTGGGGGTCTGTCTTTGTAGAAGTTCCAAGAGCATGAGGTGAACAGACTGTAGAATCATCTAAATGTCAGTAAATGTGCCCAGTGGTGTACAGAGCAGAGCTGTCAACATAAAATATTGTAAACTATTCTCCAAGTAGTTTCCTTCTAACTTTTTAAAATTGTTTTCTGTGGACCTGATCCTGATCCTGACAGTGTCTGAGCTGGGACAGAATGCATTTACCAAATTGCTTTTAAATGGCAGTGCAACATGTAACTGCCAGTTGTCGGTTCTTGTTGTAGCTTTTTAAGAGCTCAGTGTAATAGCCAGCGAAGGTGAGAAGATATATTTTGGGGTATTTTTTGGGTAGTGGAACCCATGAAGAAATGGGAACCAAAGAAGTTTAAGTCTCAATGTCTTTCATTGTTCTGTATGACTCCATGTGTGTCTCAGGTGCTGCTTCACAGCTGTTTGTCCCTACATCTGTCTATCCCTTGGGTCCATTGCTGTGGAGAGGATTTGTGCCAGTGATTTTTATGCTGATGGCCAGATCACTGAAATTACATTATCCCTTAGATTAGAGAAACACTTTAGGTCTTCAAAGAGTGTGTCAGTTTGTACATTTGTGGGGTACAGGGACCAGTTGCTTTGCAGAATGGAGTATTTAAACTGGAATATCTTTTATTGCAGGTCACGCTATGCAGATATGCTTCATGATAAGGACAGAGTAAGTACAGAACCAAAACCCTTTTGAATGGGGGAAAAGAGCCATTGCATTTCTCTTGAATAGCTGTCACTGAAAAATAAAGTGATCACATTTTTGTACTCTCTAAGGTACCAGACCTGCTCTTAAATCAACAAATGCCTTCTTACATCTGACTTTACTATTCTGTTGTTTACTGCAGAACATTTTTACATTCAGTAGCCAATTTTGCTCTTCTGTGTTTGACATTTTTGACAGAGCGCTCGTTAGATGAAATTTCAAAGGTTGTAAAAGTGGAGCTGGGCTTCTAAGTTTTTATAGGAGTATATGTAAGTTTGTTCTTCTGTGGTATTTCTACCATATGTACAGGCATGATGAAGTCTGGAGTAAATAGTTCAAATGTTCATTTTCCTCTAGCCATTAAGTCAGCCTTCCATCAATAACATTTTGAAAGATTTTTTTTGTGCCTCCACAATGAATACTGATTTCATATTGAATGAAAACTTATCAGTGGGATAAGGCATTTAATAAACTTTGTAGAAGCAGTGAGTTGTGTCTGAGTGATAAAAACAGCTATTGGAATTATATGTATCAAAGTTGTTGACTAGAATTGTTGAGAAGGGGGTCCAGCAGACCTTCCAGATGTATAATGTTCAAAGGTTGTATATTCCTTGGAAGGGCTTGATAAATCATTTGTAAAGGAATGTCTTATAGTAGGTTGTTATAAAGAAAATATAACCATATATATCAATCTGTACCTTGTGGCTGACAGCATTTATTTTCTTCCTGTTGTTGATGCTGGTGTGCTCACAGCTCCATTTAATGGCCTGTAACTAAAACCCAGGATTTACACTTTTAATTCTCATGTATGAACCTTTTTGAGTAAATGAAGAGAGGAATCTAGACCAAGACATTTCAGTTCTTGTAGGGCCACAGGGAGAATATGACTATTTGAGTGGTCCTGCAGGGGAAAATTAGTCAGAAAACCTGTAGTATCTCCCATGGATCTGATTATTATTTACTTGGGAAAATATAATGACATTTGGAAATCATACATATGTTATGAATAGCTGATTGACCAATGGTAATATGAACATTGTGATAAATATTGATGTACTTTAAATGGGCTGGTTCTGCCAGTTACACTTTTTATTGCTGAAAATGGCTTTGGTGTGACTGCTTGGCATGAGGAGTGTCTGTAGGACTTTTTCTGATTATAAACTCACAGTCAAAGAGTGCAAGATTTCTGCACAAAAATTAAAAACATAAATGGATAAAAGGTTGCTGATTTTTTCTTCTTTTCCACAGAATGTGAAATACTACCAAGGTATTCGTGCTGCAGTGAGCAGAGTAAAGGAGAGAGGTGAGAAAGCAATTGTGCTGGACATAGGGACTGGCACAGGACTCCTGTCCATGATGGCAGCTTCAGCTGGGGCAGATTTCTGCTATGCCATTGAGGTGAGCATTGGTTAGGGATTGCACATATTCAACATGTTCTTTGTGATGCTAATATTTTCAGGTTGTGTACTAGCTCTGTTATTTTTTTCTGAATGAAACAGAAATTCTCTTCACAATTACACTGTTAATACAAGCAGGATTTGGCATCCTTCAGTGAGTATTTCAGTGCTGGGTGTTTTGGTGTCATTGACATAGTGTCTTGAGCACATGTAAATCTTTAGGGGCTTCTGTTGATGCATGTATAGGTATCTTTATTTTTTCAAAGAAATGAATTTATTTAATGTAAATGCTACAGTATTAATGTGTATTCTTGTGTTTCAAAAGTTAAATTGGAGTAGCCTTTGGAGGCAGCCAATAACTAACAGTGAAGCTCTGAATTTTTCAAGTGAGGCTCATTGCCTTGTTTCATGGTAATGAACTTCAAACATAGGACAAGATAAGAATATGTTAATTTTTTTTTTCAGAATTAAATATATTGCATTTTGTGTAGACACCCTTCCATTTTTGAAAGCTGACTCGAAGGGAACCATTTTGTTGCACTCTCGCTGTTCACAGGTGTTCAAGCCCATGGCTAATGCTGCTGTGAAGATAGTGGAGAAAAATGGTTTTTCTGACAAGATCAAAGTAATCAACAAGCATTCTACTGAAGTCACAGTTGGCCCAGGTGAGAAAAGTAGGCTAGGCTTAAAAAAAATTGGCAAGTACCTGAAAACCATGAAGGAAAAGGTCTTACTGTTATTTATTATACATTTTTTTATTCAAACAAGTGTGTTGAGTGCACTGAGGGAGCTGGGATGGGTTCAGCTTGGAGAAGAGGAGGCTTAGGGGAGACCTCATCTCTACAACTGAAAGGAGTTATTGGGTGAGAAAGGTGAGGGTTGGCCTCTTCTCCCAGGTGACAGGATGACAGGAAATGGCCTCAAGTTGTGCCAGGGAAGGTTTAGATTGGAGATTAGGAAAATTGCACAGGAGGGGTTGTAAAGCATCGAAAAGACTGCCTAGGGAAAGGGGACAGTCAGCATCCCTGGAAGTGCTCAAAAACATGTGGATATGGCACATGGGGACATGGGTTAGTGGTGGACATGGTGATGGTGCTGGGTTAGTGGTTGGACTTTAGATCTTAAAGGTCTTCTCCAACCTTAAGGATTCAGTGATACTTTACATTCTAGAAAGTAACACTGGAAATCTACTTTGGAAGAAAGTGTTCTGGTAATATTTCAGTAACCATTTGTATTTCAAATGGAAAATAATTTCCAGTCTTCAGCAGACTCTTTAACAGGAATAAGTTCTTAATTACTTGTGTATTCAGGTAAAAGATTTAACATTTCAATGTTGATTTGTGTCTTCTAGATGGAGATATGCAGTGTCGGGCAAACATCCTGGTTACAGAATTATTTGATACAGAGCTGATTGGAGAAGGAGCTTTACCAACCTATGAGCATGCACACAGATACCTTGTACAGGTAAGAAAATATAGGGAGTGTGTCACATCTATCACTAGAGAAATTTTTCTGCCTTTTTTTGAAGTAGGATAGGGATTATACAGAACTTAGGCTTCTTGGTAAATACACCATCAGCTCTGCTAGTTTCTTATTCAGTCAATAATTTACTAGATTCATTCCTAGAATAAAGCTGTTTGAGTTCATATTGTAAATCACAGGCTCTGAAACTACACCTAATTGTTTTGTGTTGAAACCAATGACTTGCTGGTTAACAAATGTCTTTCAGAAAGGCATCCAGTTCTTATTTGAAGCTCTCCATAATAATTCTTTGTCCCAAGAATTTTTTTTTAATTCTCCTAACTATAATGAGCTTCACATCCCAGGCATTGATTCATTTTTGGTTATTTTTTTTCCTATTGTGCTCTTACTGCTCCATATGCATTTTGCATGTGAAAATATTTTAAATGCTGTATTTAAATAATACCCTTTTTTTTACGACTTATAATCTATGGGAATAATTTTGGGGCTTTCTCTTTTATATTTTCTAATATTATCCCTTCATTAAAATGTGGATGGCAGAACTTTGTTTAGGTTTCCAAGTTTCCATTCCTGAGACACCATATAAAGACATTAGCACTCCATAACTTTGTAGTGCTCTCTGAATTGAACTCTTAATTTGCAATTAGTCTTTTTTTCTGTTAATGCATTGTTTTTGAACTTCATGGTTCGCTCTTAGTGCTTAGTGGGATTTTTAGGACAACTTGTGTGTTTTCCACTCTTTAAACATTGGTGCAAAGTTGTCCTTGTATAAATATTTGAGCCATTATTTTTCTTATTTCCTCATTGCAATTAGCAGTTGTCTTGTATTTTTGATACCTTAATAGTTTTCTGCCCTAAGCTCAAGCTAGATCTCTTATTTCAGAACAAGAATGGAAATGCAGGTTTAACTGAGGCTAGTAAACTGATAATATTGCATGGTTAATGAAGTAATCTGGCCTTGCTGAAGCACACTGAACAGGACAGATATGTGTATTCTGTTTCACAGAGAGACAAATTGCTCTGATTTTACCAAAGTCTCTAAAATAACTTGTATTTTAGACTTCAAAGCTCCCAGTCCAACTTTTCTTTAAACGGGATTAAATTTCAGTCGATTTAATCTCACTTATGTCTATAAGTGAAACTTGTTGAATGTGTTTACCCTTTGTTTTGAACACTCAGGAAGGATGTGAGGCAGTGCCTCACAGGGCAACAGTCTATGTCCAGTTAGTGGAATCCAGAAGAATGTGGTCCTGGAAGAAACTCTTTCCTGTTCATGTTGAAGCAGAGGATGGTGAAAAAATACTTGTTCCACCTTCAGAAATGGAGAACTGTCCAGGTCTTCCTTCTGTTTGTGATATCCAACTGAACCAGATGCCTTCAGGTGACTTCAGTACCCTTAGTGATGTGGTGAAAATGTTCAGGTAAGGGAGATACTGTTTTGTTCAGAACAAAGTCATCCTCTTATGCCTTTCATATAAGCTGTGTATTGAGCTTAAGAAACTGATGAGAATTTCTGAAGAATTCATTTTACAATTTCCTTTCTAATATTTCTTTTTATAATTTTGATGCTTCCCTGCAGTGTGGATTTCAGTAAGCCAGTACAGAGTGCTTCTACCTGTTATAGAGTGCAGCTGGAGCCTGTGAAATCTGGCAAGGCACAAATTGTACTTTCCTGGTGGGATATTGACATGGACCCCTCTGGGATGATAAATTGCTCAATGGCTCCCTACTGGGTAAAACCCACTTCTGCTTTGCAGGTAAAATGCTGAGCCTTCAGATACCATTGTCAGATGACTGAGCAATCCTTTGGAGTACTGGGGGGTTTAAGCAGCTCTGCCTTAAATTGCTTAGGAACTTTGCTAGTATTTAATGTATTGGAAGAAGCTAAATAAGCAAATTGTAGAAATTTTAGCTATGGTATATGCCCATTTGAGGTTTTCTTTAATGGTAATCATTAAAGAGTAATCTTTTTTGTAAAACTTAAAGACTGAAGGTGTTCTTCCAGATATTGTTATTTCTTTTATGTTCAAGAAATAAAGATTTCTGTATCTTTTTCCTAAATAGTCTCCATCCCTGCTTAGTCTGTAGTTTGCTTCCTTGTAGTTCTTCTCTTAAATTTCCAAGTAAGTGTTATGTTGATGGTAGTATATTTATACTGTATTTTAAATAAAGAGGCTGGTGTAGGAAAGTGCTGGATTGATACACATAATTATAGAAATGTTATCACTATTAAGTCAGATTTCTGTGTTTTGTGTGAATGTATTTACCAGTAGGAAGAAATTAGTGAAAAGGAAGTTAAAAAATGATTGTCTACACTTAGCATGTTTGAGAATAAAATCTGAAATTACCAAATTGGGGGTGTTCAGTCAACTTAGAGTGACTGATCTGTATAGGATATTTGCAGTGCAAAAACCAGCTTTGTGAAACACAAAGTAGTTGTGCTGTGATCAGAGTGACACTGAGTGACAGTTCTGGGTGCATGAGGCTGTCAGCAGTTCAGTACAGGTTTCTAACACAAGTTAACTGTGGAGGGTGAACAGCATTAATTAATGCAAAGTAATTTTGGGTCGTTTTTCATTTGGTTGCAATAGAAGCTTGGCAAGTGAGCAAGCCAATGGTCTTGGGTTTATTCTGTTGCAAGAAATCAATATTATTCAGTGTGTGATATTGGTCTTTATTCAGCCTTGCTAAATTGAACAAGATTCTTTAAATTAATCATGCATTTTCAAAGTTGTGCCCATGCTTCCTAATTGATTTCCTGCTATTTGTTTACTTTCCATTTGCTATTTATGAGTGAGTTTCTGAGGTTTTGTGTATCAACCCTTTTCAGTGGAGGGATCACTGGATGCAGTGTGTTTATTTTCTTCCACGTGAGGAGCCAGTTCTGCAGGGTGAGAAGCTGCACCTGACTGCCTGTCGTGATGAGTACTCTGTGTGGTACAACCTGCAGAAAGCCAGGTAACAATCTGGGTGTGGAAAAGACTGCTCTCTTACTCCAGGCTGGAGTATTTGCTGCTCTTAGAGCATCTCCTTTTGTAGAAATGCAAGATAAGAACCTAAAGGGTAGAAAAATATTAAAGGCTGCTTCATGGGCAATGCACAGGTGGAAAATACACATTATGCTTAAAAACTCAGTTGGACTGCAAGGTCCTGCCTTGTACCTGGTTTCATTCTTTGAAAAGAAGCATAAAACAATCATGGTTGGTTCCTGGAAATTTTAAAATACAGCACAGCTGAAGTGGCATACAGGTAAAGAAGTGAAATAATTGCCATTCCATTTTGTATTTTCCTAGTCAGCACTGTCTTTTTGAGATTACTGCTTTTTGCTCAGATTAAAAAGAGCTTAATCATGTTGGTTGTCATGGCAATTGCAGCAAACATTTTTAAAACCAGCGCTGGCTTTAAAATGTCTGAATCTGATGTGCCTTTTTTACCTAGGAATCCAAAATCCAAACAAGTAACTGTTTGCTGAAAAGGCAGAGCCTAAAGTACCTAACCATCACAGTTAGTGGTGAAGTGGGGGATGGTTCTTGGTTTTGTCTTTTAAAGAAGGTGAAAATTCTTTTTGACCCCTCTTCATTTGGAAATGCAGAGTTACAGAAGTGTCTCTGGAGAACCAGGAGCTTCAAAAAAGTGACAGCAGAGTTTGTATTCATTACTGTGCATATCAGCCAAAATGCATCAACGTGCTGTTTACAAAAATGTCTTGCTGATGCTGTGGTTGATACTACACTGAAATTTCTTCCAGAGAAGGGGAGAGCAGAGCAGATGAAGAGCAGCACAAAGCAGATGTCTGTGTGCAGAGTCCTGTCTGTAGGTGTCGTGCCCATCTGCTGTGGAACAGGCCCCGCTTTGGGGAGCTGAACGATCAGAGCCGGACACGCCAGTACATCAAGTCCTTGAGGAAAGTGAGTGCTTGCTGCCTGCAGGTTCTGTTGGCTCCTCTGAGGGATGCACATCCTGGTTTATTTATGTAATTATTTATGGAATTTGTTTGTCCCCTGTGAAGGACTTTGCTCACAAAGTGTATTTTTCTTCCATCAGCAGATGGAAGTTACAGTTTTGTCTTGAAAGCTTTAGTATTAAATTTGTAAATGGTAAGCAGCCATTTTTGCATAGGATTTGTAGTAACTCTGTGTGTTTGTGAGACCTGGTATTGGCAGTTAAATAAAGACATCCATTACATTTTTGAGCAAACTTTTTCAGACCTAAGCCAAAGGCATTACATGAGAATTTTTTTACAGTTACTAGATATGAAAGTGTATTAAGTGTGGAAAGCTTTTCCCTCTGCAATAAGAATAACGATGACTATTTGTTTTCTGTAGGTTCTGAAAACAGATAGCATTTGCCTTTGTATCAGTGATGGCAGTCTGCTGCCTGTGCTGGCTCATTATCTTGGAGCAAAGCAGGTACAGTACTTTGACCTGTTTTTCAGATCTTTGCATTTTAGCTTGGTACTTTTCTCTCATGGATTTCATTTCCAGCTCATTATTTAACTGTTTCCAGTGCCTCTTCAGGGACAAGTGAGGAATAGACTCACACTGTGCTGAAGGGGAGTTTAAATTCATCTCTGGTCAAGCTGAAGTCTAGGAAGATAATAATTACCAGATTTGACATTTACCACTTTGTAGTTTTGAGGGAAAGTTCCTTATTCCCCACTGCTTCCTGTTTGCCATCTTGTTTCTTGTTTCTCTGAGGAAACTCTATGGACCTAAATGTCTGGGAGGGTATTTTTCTTTTATGTTTGCAATTCCATAATTACATTTATTACCTAGTCTGGAGTGGAAGATCTGTAAGAGCCAAGTAGGAAGCAGTAAGAGTACTGGGTCTGTGTGTAGCTGAGAGCTGCCTGGCTGTCTCACACACATAAATGCCCTCCTTGATGGGGGGCTCTTTAAACTAAAATATGTTAGAGCTGAATTGAATATCTGGGAATGTGTAATGCAATATAATCCTGAGGAATGTAGCATATTTCCTAACAATTCATCAATTTTGGATAAAAACTGTTTTTTTTCTTACTGCAAAAGGCTTTTGAGCACTTTCCAGCTGATACAGTCAGGTTATACTAAGCAGTATTTACAATTTGGCAGAGTGGTGATATGCCTTCATTTGTTCATGAATAAATATGCGCTTAGGACAAATGTTAATATGCTGTGTGCAGCTTAAAAATGGAAAATAAGTATTGTCATTCTGTTGAGGTTTTTTTTTTCTTGTATAGCCATGAAAACAGAAGTATTTAACCTGTAGTTTTGGAGGGTGTTTTGTTGTTAAAATAAGTTCATTATAGTGGGCTCTGGAATAGATGCATGGTTCTTATAAACTGTGCTCACTAGGGCATCAAAATGTTGCTTCGTTCTTCAGTAACATACTTTTAATTAAAAACTATAAAGGTAGTTTGACTGACTGTGTTTTTTCTTTAGGTGTTTACCTTAGAAAACTCTGGTGTGTCCTGTTCTGTCATGGAAAAAGTGAGTATTCCATTTTCTGTTAAAGCTGGATCTCTCCTTGCAAGGTGCATGCAGCCTTCAAGAATAGCCTTGTTTCATCCTCATGAGTTATGGCAGGCAGTTTTGTTAAAATTTCTTTTGGCTGCTGGGGTTTTTTTCCTTATTTATTTTCAATGAAATTGTTATTTTGGACTCAACTGTGGCTTTTGATAAAGACAGTGTGTTACTTTTTGATTTTAGTTTTTTAAAGCAAATAATCTTGAAGATAAAATTAAAATAATAGAAGTGCGACCTGAGTTGCTGAAGCCTTCTCATTTGGAAGATAAAAAGGTATGTTACAGTTGTCCATTATACTGAATTTTAGGGGTTGGCAGGGAGCAGAAGGTAAAAATGAATTGTAACTACAGTGAATTCTGTTACATCCCAATTAATCTAAAATTAAAATGGTTCACACCGTGTGCCACTAAAATTAGAGACTAAAGAATGTGGGAGGGTTGTTGCTTTGTTTTTGAAGGGTCTGCCTTTCCCTGCTGCATAATTGCCTCAGTAGTTAAGGCAGTTTAACTGGTTCTACAAGGCTGTAACTTTCACAGGCCACTCAAGAAGATTGCAATCTATTTGGAAGTAATAACATACTTCAGAACTTCGGAATTCTGTGACTCATTACAAAGCCTTCCAAACTCAAACGCAGTATTTTCTCACAAACTTTGTTGCAGGAAAATTGAATTTAAAATGTGGTAGCTGAACCCACAGAACAATGTCCAGTGTGCTGAATGTGCAGTGTACAATAATTAAATCCCTATGGAGCAATCTAGATGATTTCACTTAATATATTGCACTGGCAGCTATTGGAAGAGCTAAACAGCCTGTGTTGTGAGTTGTTGTTCTTTATTATAATGCTTTTTATCTCTTCCCTCCTTTGCCAAGATTTCTGTCCTGGTGGGAGAGCCGTTTTTCACAACAAGTTTGTTGCCGTGGCATAACCTGTATTTCTGGTATGCCAGGACAGCTGTGAGCTCTCACCTTGCCAGCAATGTCACTGTCCTACCTCAGTCTGCTTCTTTGCACATGATGATTGTGGAGTTCCAGGTGAGATACATACCTACTATGTGGTTTGCTATTGAATGTCTAAGCTACAGCTAAAATTATTGCAAGATTTCCCATTTCCTTTGATAAAGCCAAACAAAATGCTGTTGTTTCTTCCAGGATTTGTGGAGAATCCGGAGTCCCTGTGGCATCTGTGAAGGTTTTGATGTCCGGACTATGGATGATATGATTAAAGTAAGAAAATCAGTTTCACCACAAGTCTTAGCAAAACAAAAAAATCAGTTTGGCTTAATCAAGCATTTAGCGACTGTTGAAAAACTTGTGTATTAGGCAGAACACCATTGTTTGAGATTCATTTGCATCAGTTCTAGAGCTTTGTTCTAGATTAATTTGGAGGAGTACAGGCAGTTGTAGAATGGAATTCATAGTGAGGGAAAAGAAAATTTCAATGCATTGTGTTTGAAAGTGCCATTTCTGTTTCAGAGCTGAGGGCCCCAGTCACAGCATTTGGTTTCATGCATGTAGGACATTTTCTCCCTTGTGACTAAGTGCAGTCCTGCTCTCTTGCAGCTTTATTGCTTGAATACTCTGGGTTTGCATTTCTGTTGTTTTCAGTTAATTTTATTCCTTCCTTTTATCAGGATTCTCTGAATTTTAGGGAATCCAAGGAAGCAGAACCTCACCCACTGTGGGAATATCCCTGCAAGTCACTCTCAGAGCCCCAGGAAGTTTTGACATTTGACTTCACAAAGACTGTCCCAGAGCACTGTCTCAGCACAGAGGGCTCTGTAAAGCTCTTAAGGTCAGTTTTCTCACTGCAATAAATATTTTTGTCATCATCCATTTCTTTACCTCCCAGTCAAGCTCTTTAGAGGAGTTGAGTTTAGAGCTCCTTTAAGTCTATTACACTTATCTGGTGCAAATGTACTTGGCAGTTTTTAATATTGTGACCTAAGATTGTGGAATTTGCCCTGACACAAGCTTCCTGTGGATATTCACACTAGGCTATAACAATAATACAATAATGTTTGATATTAGATTAGATAATATACCTCTGTTTAAAAAACCAACATTTTAATAGCTCTCACCATGATTTAAAATTTAAATAGATTAATTTATAGTTTAGAGAAAATAAATATTATCTGGATGTTTTTTAGTGTTTCTGTTCAGAAAAAGCTTCTACTTAGCTTGTCAAATTATTGTGTTTAATAATTAAATTTATTATGTTTAATAGCTTTAAAATTATATGCTGGTAGCTTGTAATTGTTGTGTATATGTTAATAGCTTTTAATGTATATGTTATTCTTCCTTGTAACTATAATCCTGGCAGTCTTTATATTTTGCCACATCTTCTGAGATACTTTCCACTATAACTGTGGATTGTACTTAATTCTGTTCAAACTTGAAATGCTGTAAAGAATTTAAAAATGAGAAAGCTTTATTTTTTTTAACTATCTAGAGCTTACATAGCTCAAACACTGCTGTGTTTCTCATTAAACAAAATTCAAGCTTTCATCGAGTGCAGAGCCATCTGTGGGGGTCTCTGTGCCTTTGCAGCAGTTGTGTTTGCAGGCAGCACAGTGGCATGGCCTCTGCTTCTTGTGGAGCAGGCACTGGAAGTGACACCATGTGTGTGGTAAATATTTCCTCTGAATTCAGAGTCAGTAGAAGCTGGGGTCTCTAAAGGAAGTTCGCAGCTTATGCTGTGTAATTCATGCCATGTTACTCAGTGCTGGTTAAGTGGCTGTGCTGCTGAGCAGATGTAGTTATGACATGTTCTCTTCCTTGACTTTTTTTGGATTTCATATCTGCAAATACTTTAAAGTTTCTGCCCCCAATTACCAACTCAGTCAGCTGTTCAGCTTTCTTTCAAGGAAGGAAGTTGTTCATGCTTTTGCAGCTCTCACTTAAGCACTAGTGCAGTGGTTAAGGTGCCAGGATTGTGGAAAGTGACAGTTTCTATCTTGCTTCTCTCCCCAGGAAAGGCAAGAGCCACGGAGCAGTTCTGTGGATGGAATATCATCTTACTGCTGATATCTCTGTTAGTACAGGACTGATGAAACTGTCCAATGAAAAGGTAGTTCTTCATTTTCATTCATTATGTCAAAGTCTGTAGGATTGCAGAGGGTCTCTGCTGGCCATGCTTGGGTTGTGTAGTACCCCTTCTCACACTGTTTGAACATTGTGTCATCAGAATTACTAAAAATATCTGTTCATGTTTTTATGGGGAGCAGGGGATGTACCTTAAAATGGGAGAGTCTGATTTGGATCCAAATGCTCCCTAGTTTGGAATAGAATTCAGAATTAAAATGGGACGCTAGGCCAAAGCAGAGTTTTTTCATACAAATAACCTCAGGTTAACAAAACCAAAAATTTGGAGAGGAAGGAGTAAGTATTTTTAGTATTCTTTCTCAATATGCTTTGACCAAATCCATTTTTAGGTCTGTGACTTCAGTGTGTGGTGTAGTAGATGGCTTTTCAAGTTATGTGTTCCACAGTGGAGTGGATGGCAGTGTGAATGATAACTGTTGATGATTGTGTGTTCAGCTGGGAGCAAGAACTCTTTCTGCATTGTTACTCTATAATAATATTGAAGATTTTGACTTCTTTCACTTTAACACTCTCCTTTAGGGAAACTGTGAATGGAATCCCCACTGCAAGCAAGCTGTTTATTTCTTCAGCTCTGTTATTGAATCAGAAATTCTGTCAGACCCTTCTGCTGTCGAATATGCTATGAATTTTGACACAAAGACAGGAGAGATTGCCATGGATTTCAAGCTATTATAAAATTCTTTCCTCCTGCTCATATTCCTAAATTATAATAAATATACTGTATTTCCTTTTTTTGTACAGCAGAAGTTTTCTTTCATTGTGTTCACAGAGCAAACTTTTATTTAACATACTTCTAACCTTTTTGGTTTGTTTTCAAAATACAGTTAGTGAGGTACAGAGGAACCATTTCTTAGAGACAGGTATTTTAGAGTCAGGGATTATATACATATATACACACATGCTTTTCATCATCTCTTCCAGAGTTTTACATAGTGCTAAGGAGGTACAGAACAGTTGTTTTGACAATAGTAGCTGGTTATTGCAGGGCATATCATTGGATGAGGACACCAGGCCTTACACTGACATTAGAGAAAAGTGAATTAAACACTTCTATTTCTGGGCTGTGCTCTGTCACTGTAAAATGGGAAATAATCTCCAGACTGCACAAACAGAAATCCCAAGTCAAGCTATATATGTATATTAGTACATGTAATAGGGAGAAGGAAACAGCTTAGCTGCTCTCAGACTTGTCTAAGTTCTGTTCTGCTGCAGCTGATGATCTGAGATGCTGCATTTCTGAAGAGTCCTGTGCCAAAAAGTGACCAGAATCTGGAAAGCTGTGACTGGAAATTAGAAAATATATATTCAGATTATTGGAAGTGACAAACCAATGGTAGTTGACTAGAAACTGAAGAAAAAGAGTCATGGGCAAAAAGCAAATCTTTATGAGAGATGTAATATTCAGTAGATGATTAAAAATGACTCATTCCATCAGAGGTGTAAATAAAACCTGCCAGTTTGGCTGAGTTGTGAGGTCCCTGCAGTAGCACATGTCCACTGCTGAGGTTTTCTTAGTTTTCTCCACATCACATTGGCTTCAGTGGCATTGTGTGAAGTGAATTCTGCTTTAGATGAAGAATCAATTGATATCTGTTTTGTATGTGTGACCTATTAAAGTTTTGATAGAAAATCAATGTCCTGCCAGTCCCAAATTATGTCAGCCATCCACAGGGATGACAGTTACTAAACTACTCCTATTTCTCTGAGCAGCAGCTTTAGCAAAGTGAAAAGAATATCGTAAAGAAGCCACAAGGCAGCAGAAGCCTCTACTACTCTGCTTTCCTGGTCACCATGATACATCATTCTCGTGACTAAAAATTCTTCCTTTTTTTTCCCCTGATGCTGGGATCATATTTATAGACCCACAAGCCATCTGCAATATTCCCAAATTTTGAGATCATTTTCCTAATGAACAGAAACCTTGCAGCTCCTGCTGATGTGTGTGAATTTCACTTTTCAAAACTGCACTTTTAAGATGCCCAGGGGTGGGTGCAGTGAAAGGGAAGGGCAGAGGTTGGGTGCAGTAGCAGCCGCCTGCAGAGCTGTGTTCCCAGGGCTGAGCTGTGTGCTTTGTGCATATAAGGAAGAGCATCTTAAATTTCAGTGCACCTGGAGCAGAAATTGCTTTGCTGCTATCCAAAAAAACCCCAAAAAACCTGGAAGGATGGAAAGCTGAGCATATTTTAGCACATGTGGGTTCCTTAGAAGAGCAAAATCTGAGGGATATGCTCAAGAAACCTTGTGCATGTTCTAATTCACTGTGAGTGTTACCAGCATCACTAGTGTGTGCTGGTTTGACTTGTGCATTTAGACAGGCACTGCAAGAGCTTTAAGGATTTAAAATTAAAATTGTTAAATTGCTGGGAGCTGTTAAGTTGAGGCAAGCCCTTACCACAACTGTGTGTAATTAGGAGTATTTATTGTATGTAACAGCCTTTCTTGATTTATGTGAATTCTTTAAGTTGGTCTTGAAAACCTGGTGTGATCTGTCAATTGTGTGGAAAACAGCTGCTTACAGAGGGACACCATTTCTTACTTATGTGTGCAAGAACAAAGTAAGAGCCTGTTTCTATCTCTCTCCTGTTCCACAGGGCATTTACTGCAGGCACACACTTGGGGGAGGAAAGGCACTTTATCAAACAAACACATTACCCAGAGCAGCAGTCAGCCTCCATTTGTTCCCAGATCTGACAGAAGCATTGCAGTCATGTTCTGAGTTGGAAGAGCTGCTGGCTATGGGCATCCTAATAAGCAGAGCAAGAATCCTATTTTCTCTTGGAAGGAACTTATTTGGTGCTGCCAGCACAGGCAATTTTTTTTCTAAATGACAATAGCTTTGATCCTGACTAAGCCTGCAGGCACAGATGCACGTTCTAATAGAAAGAGGATCTTCTGCCAGCCCTGAACTAACAGCATTAGAGATCAGATATTGCAATAGAGCTAGTGTATAGCTGGGCAGATTTTTAATGCAAGACACAGGTTTTAGTCAGGTATTAAAAGTCAATAAACTACCAAGTGTTGCCATTCACATTTAACTTTCCAATTTTGGCTTTACTGCAGAGGTAACTGTTCTGTAGTTCTGAGATTTTACTAAGGTGTGGTGGTTACCACAGCACAGCTCCACGAGAGGGTGCTGAGAACCCACTTCTGAATTTCTAGCACATTATAAATCAGGAAAATGCAGAGGCTTGCAATGCAGCTGTCTGATGCAAATCACACTTGTGTTATGAGATACACTGTACATACATGCATGGAAGTGGAGAACTAGTGCAAAAAGTGGTAACTGCTCGAAAATCTAACCAGACCTGCACCTGCTGTTAAAGCAGGCAGGCAACAAACTCTTATGCTGAATACCGAGTGAATATTGCTCCTTGGACAGTGAGGTTGTCATGAAGGACAAGTCTTGCATTTTAAAAGGTGTTTTCTAAACCATGGCAGGTGCAAGATTTGCTCCTTTATTTGCAGAACTGTTACCTTTTGTGTGAAAGCTGGGCACTTCAAGGACTGAGATCCTGGAGCTTGCTTTTCTCCTTCATTAGTCCCTTTGAAACTGCTCTGTGTGGGCTTCCTGCATTTAACAAGATAGAGGATGCAGTTCAGGACTAATTCATTTAGTCACTCATCTTTTGTATTCTATTTGTAGTTACAGCTGGTTGTTAGGGGGGGGAAGAGACTATTAGAGCTTCCTCTAGAGTTGGATTTTTCCAGTGATGATTGTGAGCAGAATACAACGGGTGCTTGTGTTGTCATTCTACCTTATTGACTCTGATGGCATTGCAAAATGTTAATTTGGCTTGGTACTTAATCATTGTGATACTTCACATTTCTAAGCATTTCATGCAGATTAGTGATTAAGATGCTTCTCAGAGAGGTATGTGTTGTCATCTCTATTTTTTGGATGAGAAAAAAACCAAGTGTGGTTTGTGTGGGTGTGTGAGTGTTTCATCTGCCCCAGGCTCACTATAAGATTAGAGCCTCAGAGCTAAAAATGACTTGCTCAAGGCCATACAGAATAGACTAATCCCCTGACTCCCTAGCTCTGCTTTAATCATTTGTTTTCTTAGCACAGTGTGATTTCACATGCAGCCTTATGAGGTTTGACCGAGATGCAGCAGATAAAGACTCAGAGACAGTAAATCCTTGGATAGCTCAGTAATTAAAGCCACCTGGGTTTTAATGCACATGTAAAATATATTTTTATTATATAGATGTTACTTACGTATTTAATATAAATATATATATATATGTATATTTACAAAGCTACAGAGCATTGGTTTTGCTTTCAAAAGCTGTCATGAAGATGACCCACTTTTTCTTCCCCCCAGCAGGATTCTGTCTGGGATCTGAGAGCCCTGAAGATGCCTCTTTTGTGGACAAGGGCACTAATGAATGAATGAATGAATGAGAGCTGATGATCCTCCTGTGTGCCAGGGGAAGGCCCTGCAGTTGCAGGTCTGGCTGCTCTTCACAGAGGTGTGGGCACAGTCCCAGCCTGTCCTGGCCTTAAGTCACACAAGATTGGCTGTGTACCCTCTGGTTCTTCCTCAGGGTTTTGCTGAAGTGCAGCTGCATGACGAGCTGCAGCAGCCCCTTTGCTGTGGATGTGCCTCTCACTCCTGTCTTTTTCCATTTCCTCTGCTCCCTCCTGCCTTGCACACCACTCCCTTGGGGAAGTGATGTGCTTTGGGAGCAGGAGTGGGTGCTGCAGGTTGCTGAGTGTGCTGCTGCTTCTGCAGGGTGGTGGATCCTGCTGGATCTGTCCTCACTGAAGGTGCCTTCTGGCTTCCTGTCAGGGTACCTAAGAAACCAATTACTCACACTTCTGACAATCAGCAAATAAATCAAGCTGTGGAGATGAATGAGGTAGGAGGGAGAGACAAGCAACCTTCACTGCAGCACTCCAAATGCCCTGTCCCTGCTGCTGGGTGTTTCTAGGAATGCTGGAGGGACTCTACATGTCCTGCATGTCTCATTTCAGGCAAAGTCACTTGTGCCCAGGGGCTGCTGATAGAGAATGAGGCTCCCTCACAGCGGTGGAAAGGCTGGGAGTGCCTCCAAACTAGGAATGAAGTGGCTGCTCTGCAGGAGTGACACCCGGGGACACTGGGCCAGGGATGTCCCCAAGCTGCCATTGTGCCCCTTCCTGCTGGGCCCCTGAGGGGCTGAGCTGCAGGGGGGATGGACACACTCTCCTTACCCCTCCCAGTGCCCTGGGCTGTGTCCTACCCAAAATAAGATGTGTCAGCTCCTGCTGCCAGCCCACAGGGACAGAGCAGCTGGCCAGGAGGCTTGCTGTGTTCTGTGAGCAGCTGTGGGACTTGAGAAACCAAAGTTCATGTGTTGAGTTTGTGTCTGTGCGACTGCCAGCCTGGGGGAACCAAGAACACACAGGGCTAATGAACTGCTGTGAAGAGAATATTCAGACCATATAATTTTGCTGGCTGTTCTGCCACGTGTGTGTCCTGGCATGCTGGGACAGGGTACTGAGGGCCAAGGCAGTGCCTTTAATATTGGCTGCTCGTGTCCCTGCTGTTTTAAATCAGGACCAGTGTTTGTGTCTCTGACCTCCTGAGTTGATGCTGTTTAAGGGTTTTCCACAGTGCTTCTCATTGCCTGGTTCTATTGAGTAGCAATCATCTTTGGACTCCAGCTCAAGTAGTTTCATTCTGTCAGTGGAGTTGAGATGATGGGCCCTTAAGTGACCCTGTTGGCATTGCTGCTTCTTGAGCCTTGGCCTTGCTTGAAATCAGTGCCCACCTCTCCTTCCTGTGTCCCTGCTGGCCAGGCTGGTCCTGAGAGCAGAGCAGAGCTCAGAGGACAATGGAAAACATGACAGGAACTCTCCCAGGATGAGGGACTTGAACCTCTCTTGAGCAAAAGCTCTTTCTGCCTAGAAGTACATTTTATCCAAAGTTTATACTTCTGGAATTGATGCACAAGCTCAAAGCTTTATCTGAATGCCCTGCGGAGGCCTTACCTGTGGGAAGGTGTGGTACAGCAGTTACAGCAGCTCTCTCATGTGTCACTGGATGCACTAATGCTGAGTGGCCAGGACTGCATGCCAGAAGAGGGAGGGTTTGGGTTAATACCTGATGGCCCTCTGCTGAAAACTGTGCTGCCATATTGCATTATCATGGCTTAGTAGGTGTTTCTGTTTTGTATGAAACTCTTAGGGAAGCTGCATCTCTTCTCCTTCATGCATCAAATAAATTTCTTTATAGATTTCAGAGGCTTAGATTCCTGCCTTGCCATGGCTCTTCATTTTTTGCTAATACTGACTGGTGCTCAGCAAAAACTAGCAGTTCCTTCTGTATGGAACAGCAGAATAACTTAACTGTGAAGTCAACTTCTGTGTTAAATGTTAGGTTTTTATCTTTTCTTGCATTATCTTGACACATACCCTGCAATACACATGAAAAAAAGTCTTCAAAAATGGAAGAAGGAAGAGAAATACCTAGGAAAAACTATGTCTTCATATTTCAATACAAACCAGTCTTTATGTCTGTTGTAGCAGGCTGCTCTTCTCCACAGGTTTAAGGGGTCTGTGCTGTCCAGACATTTATTTTTGTGTTTTCTTTTGTGCTTGTCACAGACACGAGGCACTTCAAGGCCAGTCTCATCCATGTGTGG